GTTGGACATTGATAGTTGCATAAATTGATTGAGTGTTTCCTTTATCTTTGAACTTCCACCTTGGTTCTTGGAGGTTGGTTGTAATTTTGATATGGTTGACAGTTAGAAGTACTCGGTTCATGTCTCCACCTTTGTTGGTAACCTTGGCTATTACCTCTCAGTTGATAGCCTATATTTTGGTTTCTCGCATATTTGGCTTCTTCAACAATCGATGGACAATATCTGGTAGAATGATCACCTTTGCAAAGTTCACAGCTTGCTATTTGTTGGGAATTTCTTACATTTCTTTGATTTGTTGGGGGAAGTTTTGACATTTGCTTTGTCAACAACTCCGCTTGTTGCAAGAGCAACTTATTTTGATCAAGAATATCGTCATTCATTCCCAACTTGATAATTCCCAACTTTCTTTGCAAAGTACCACATTTGTGTTGAACTTGGTGATCATTTAGTGCCATCATATCAATGGTGGAAACTGCAACTTCTATGCTTTTTGACATTAGAGACCCACCCGCCGTAGCATCCAAAAGAGTTTTATGAACGGGTTGAAGTATATTGTAGAATATATTCACTTGAGTCAAGTCATCAAAACCATGGCCTTTTCACTTTCTCAACATAGATTTGAATCTCTCCCACGCTTCATTGAGAGATTCGCCTATTCCTTGCGCAAATACCGAAATTGCTGTTTTGCCCTCCATAAACCGATTGTGAGGGAAGAATCATTTAAGAAACTTATCCTCTAAGATGTTCCAATCCGTCATCACAAGATTAGATTGGTCCAGATACCACTCCTTCGTCTTTCCAATTAAGGAATGAAGGAATAACCTTTTGAATAAAGGTTCCTCTTCAAGTTCAGATGCTCTCGTTACATCCGTTATCTCATAAAACTTCGTGAGATGTGTAAACGGGTCCTCATGGTCCATCCCCACAAAAGGGATTTGCATATAAAAAATTTAGGATTCACATCTTCATCTCAGAATGCCTTTCGTTGTTGGCATTACGTGTGAATTGAGTGTTATGTCTTGGACTGTTAACACATGAGGTTGAAGCAGAAGGTCGTGGTGGCGGTGGTTCTGCCATGTTTGGTGTAACAATGGGTGTAGATAAAGAAGCTTCTCTGTGCTCTCGTCTTTCTTTGGCAAGTTGCCTTCTCCATTTAGTTCTTCTATTGAGCTTCCATGCGGTTCTTTCAATCTCAGGATCAAAAAGAAGATGGTCCACAGGTACACTCCCTCTCATAAACATAATTTGGACACTTAACCAAACAAATCAAATAACACAATAAAAAAAGAAGAGGTAAGAGATCAAAATAAAAAGATCTTAAAATCAATAAACTATTGCAATGCTTATAATATCAAACAATAATTCCCGACAACGACGTCATTTTGTTGGAAAGTACAGTGTAGGGGGGTTTTGTTACCGTCCCCACAGGGATTGTTCTGATATGGGATGCTTGTCATTCAATAGTTTATCATTTCAAGAAAAGGTTTTTCAAAGTTTGTTTCATAAATTGTCACGATTTAGTAGCAAAGCTTTAAATTCTAAAGTTGTTTGATTAATAAAGTATATCAAAAGTAGTTTTCATCTATCCTAATTTTATATATATATATATATATATATATATATATATATATATATATATATATATATATATATATATATATATATATATATATATATATATATATATATATATATATATATATATATATATATATATATATATATATATATATATATATATATATATATATATATATATATGGGATGCATGTGAAGTCGGATCCGATCAATATCATCGTGTATTCTCTCAATACCATCTATGTCTAAAGCAGTGTTATGAGAAATACTGTATTCATCGCTACACGATCTCTCCATATAACAACCAATATAGTAAGCTTTAACTTCAACACAAAGCAAATTTCAACCATAGACCGATCTCTCCAACCTATAAACTGATAGATAAATATTTTAGGTCAAATTCCATAAAATATATGTCTAGAGTTTTACAAAACAACAATGAATCATTAAGAACAAAAATATGCATCATATATTAATAATCACTTGTTCGCATACACAACCAAACAAAAGAAATACATAAATTTAAGGTAGACTACCTCTATAATTGATACAGAGGAAATTAGCTATCCATAACCATGGTAGCTTGCTTTACAAGTAATGTGAGAAGATGAATGAACATCCACGTTGAAGAATCAATCTTGGATGCGAATCCAGCTTCTATTTGCAAAATATCACTCTTTGGTGAAGAAATGTAGAAAATAGGGTTTCTTTGTGAAAATGGGGTTATGATCCTAACAAAGTGTGAAAAGTATCTATATAGTACTTCCAAAATCTGTCAACTTTGCCCAGCGAACACTTTCTTCGCCCAACGAATACCACTTTATGGCACTTGAAGTACCTTTGAATAGTTAGACCGCCCCTGAGGAAATATCTAAGTTCGTAATGCGAACACTTCTTCGTCCAACAAGCTTCTTCGCTACAAGTCCGCACAGAGAACTTAGGATCCTTTTCTTACTGCCTATAATATGGGATGGTTCACTAGGGCTTCTCCAAGAGCTTACACAGTAAACATTAGTTGGCACAACGAACATGCTGAATCTTCTTCTTTTCTTTGGTTTCCTTGTCAATTCACTTGTGTCTTAATCTTTAATATTTTAGGCTTAAATCCTGCATAATAACCTACAAATCAAAGCAACCAAAGGTATTTTCAACATAATAGAAGAATAACATTGAAACATGGAATAAATCCATTGAAACATAACAAATGAGTTGAAAAATGCCAAGAAATATGGATCAAAATAAGACATGTTTGGCATTCAACATTTGCCTTCTAGGGTTTGGTTGTGGTTACACGTCTCTCCCATGGCATCTCACACGTCTATTATGGCCTCGTTGTTGCCATAATTGTTGCTACTAACTATAATGTTACTTCGTCGTGTCACCATGTTCAGGAAGATGACTGATGTGACTAAAAGTTGGATGTGAGTGTGACCTAAGTTATTTTTACCGATGACCCATAATGAACGTTAATTGTACTTCTTAAAAATACTCCCTCTATTTCAAATTGACTATCATTTGAGGTTTTTTCATACAAATTAAAGAATGTAATAATATTGTCATAAGATATTGCATTTTTACTAAATTAACCTTGCAAATGTGTTGGTAGTAGTGTACAAAGTTAATAATTAAATGACACAATTGGAAAAATAGTAATAATCTCTACATTGAAAAGTGAGAATGATTTTCTTTTTTAAACAAATTTTATTTGTTAAAACGACATTCATTTTTAAATGGAAGGAGTACAATAAAGTGTCATACCCTCTTACATATGTGGAAAGTAAGAGAATCATAAACCTCAATCTGCAAAATTAGTGAATAATCCCTGCAAACCTTCAAGATTAGGATTATGGATGTTCGCAGACCGATTTGGTTCGATTTCGAGAGAATTTGATGCTCAAACCAATCAAAAATATATGGATTGGTTGGGATTTGACTTTCATATTTTTATGATAAAGCTCAATTCGAACCAAACGAAGAAAAAACGGATTGATTTGGGTCAGATTGATTAAATACATTAGAAAAAATATGCAAAATATTTTTAAAAAATAGCTAATTTACCTAAACTAATTTTCCATAATAATCTAAAATTCCTAATTATTTTTGTTAGTAAGAGTTGCACCTAATTCACCCCCTCTTGGGTGCAACTCTTACTAACAAAAAGCAAGACTAAAAAGTTTTATAACCAAGGGGATGTAAATGAAAATTTGTTGAGTGAAATTGAGCACTAAAAATATCAAAGAATAAATTAAAGGCTTGTACCATGCTTGATGATCAAAACTAATTCTTCATGATAGTTGAATCTTTTGCTCATACTTTTCTTGATCCAATGCACAAATGTTGACTTCATCAAAACAACCAATTTGAAGAGGCTTAATTTTACATGTTTCGTTTCTAAAATATATGGTTGGTGGGTCGGCCCGACGAGCCAAGCCCCTTTTGATAGCTCTAGGTGGAGTACCGTATTATCCTAAGATACCACTTTATGATTCCTTTATTTTCTATTGATGAGGTTTTCCCTGTTTGTCATAAGGCGTGTTTTGATCAATTTGGAGAAGACACGATTCATTGTAAGGAGCTTCTAGACTTCAAATATCAACACTACCTTATTAAGGATGTTCTGTTTTATATATTTCGACGTGTCAAAGTATCTGTGAAGATAGAAACGCCTGTGATTTTTTTGACTGATCCACTTAAAGGGAGATTGACACTTAGGCCAGCAAATACTCTTGTGTATAGGTGGGTAGGAGGGAAACATTACTTGTATAAACTTAACTGAAGTTTCTCCACGGTTGGGATTGAGGGTTAGCGGTTTCACTGAGAGACAAACAACTATCAAAGATGCTTCAAGTAAAATGGTTGAGAAAGGACAATTAACATATTTTTATATCATTTGTCTTTAACACACTTTTGGTTTTCTAACATTAGGATTGTTGATCATTTACAAAAAGTTTAAAGACTTATGAATATCAACGTTTTATATGTATAAAACATTCAAAATTTGTTGTCGATTTTTATGTATAAAACTTTATTAATATATTTTTATAATGAATGATAAATAATCTTATTTTTATTTCATCAATTCTTCCTGAGTTTGAGTTATACCTTTTCGTTTAACGGGTTCATATTGTGATTTTTTTCAACCACTTCGTAATTGAAGCACGCCGCTCACTGGTTTGTATTCTTTTTCATTTCTTCTTCGCCATTCCTCCTCCTTCTACTCTGCAACGGCAGCTTCATGCACCGTGTTGTTCTCGTGAAATGCACGCCGCCACAGTGATACGCGCCGCATTTGGCATCACTGTAGCGGCCAGCGGCCGCGATTTGCTACCTTGTTTCAATGCACGATTTTTACTTGCAAGTTGAGTTTTTTTCAAACTGTAATAGTGTTTTGTTGTGGTTTTAGGGAGTAGGGTTATCGTGAAATGGGTTGGAAAGCAGCTGAGAAACTGATTAGGCATTGGAAAGTTGTGCGAGGAGATAATGTAAGCCAAACCCTAATTCATTCTTTTATTCTCGTTGCTCTTTCTTATTATTATGCTCTCATTTGTATCAGGTTATGATTATAAGGGGCAAAGATAAGGGCGAGACTGGGGTTATTAAGCGCGTTGTTCGCTCTCAGAATCGTGTCATTGTTGAAGGCAAAAATCTGGTTAGAGATCATCATCATCACAACTTGAAGAATCTCACGTGTTATGGTGTTAATTTCCTGGATTGATTTCCCACTTGTCTTTACAGGTAAAGAAGCATATCAAGCAAGGGCAAGGTCATGAAGGGGGTATCTTTACAGTTGAAGCCCCAATCCATGCCTCCAATGTGCAAATTCTTGATCCAGTCACAGGGTATTTGCCGTTCTTCACAAATTGAACTTTTCAATTGAATATTCAGAGATTGGGGATATTTGAAATAAATCAAAGTAACCTTTACTTATGCAGGAAGCCTTGCAAGGTTGGAACTAAGTATCTTGAAGATGGTACCAAAGTCAGAGTGTCCAGGGGAATAGGAGCTTCTGGCTCCATTATTCCTCGTCCAGAGATCTTAAAGATTAGAACTACACCAAGACCTTCTGTCGGTAAGTTTCTGAAAATCTAACCATTTTTTTCCTGTTAAAGTTGTTGAGAAAGGCGTATGAAAGTGAGGAACTGAAACCAAACTTGGATTGACATGTGAAAGGCGTGTACAACAATCCAATAGTGCAGCATATATAAACTAGAGATAGCAACTAGTCGCATACTATTTCCCTGAGGGTATGACTCATTGAGCGAACTTAACTCTAGTTATAGTTTATTTATCTCAATTAATTGTAAGGATCTATCTATGCCCTCTTTTGGCTGGTGTTTGTAGACATACATAGATTATTTAAAATAAAATAAAACAGATAAATAGACATTCATAATCGACCATAAGCTTGTTGTCATGCTTGTCATTGAAAAAAGCCAAACTGTGTCACACCTTATAGACATATTCTTAACTTACTCCTTTTGTTGGAATGCATAACTATAATTGTTTAGTTAGTTAGTTAGCACAACATAAAAGAAAGCCTCTGGAAAAGTTGGGTGCCAGTAGGTTAAGGTCTAGCTTGGATTACCTTTTAACTTGTGAGACTCGATTAAAATAAGTTTGCGGTTTTTGACTTAGTAGAAAGTCCTTATAAGTTTAGAGATGTCTATGTAAAAGTTGAATGAGAGGGAGCTTCTTATAGTATTTTCAAGCTGTTATTTGAAAATAACATAGTTAGGAAGATTCTTTTACTATTTTTTCATGATCACTATTTTTGAAGACGTTAATCCAAAGCACTGTAAATGTTGTAGAGTGTCAGATCATTAAAGGTGTAAGATTAATTAAGTTCCTTTCCATTGCCTTACAAACCTTGCTTCTTGGAAATGTATTTCTTTTCTTTTCTCTACCTTGACAAATGCAATAATGGACATGCATTGCTTATGTAGAAACTCAAGTAGAATGCTACATTTGTAAAATCAAGTACAAATACAATAAGAGACATACATATAATATTACTCAAACACAGGGATCTCGCATGAAAATTTTACTGCATAGACGTTAGTATGAAGTTAATATAAAACCAAATCTTAAATCGAGAGAGAAAATTGATAATCAAAAAGTTTATGTTATAGGTCATTGCAGACATAATAAAATGCTAAGACTTAGGTGGTTGTAGATTTTGTGATAAGGAGAGTAGATCAGATGGAGAGAAGTCAAACAACTAGAGTTAGAGGAAGATCTAGAAAAATTATAAGAGAAGTTATTAAGAAAGACCTTGAGTTGAGATTAACGAAATGGATAGAAGGATGGTTCTGGATAAAACATTATGGTGAAAGTTAATCCATGTAGACGACTCCGCTTAGTGGGATAATGTTTGTTTGTTGTTGGTGTTACATTATGTATTGGTGGTACAAAGTTGTAAAATGCTGCTAGCAATTGGCTGACGCTTACAACACGTGTATTATTTTGAATCAGTGTTGTTAAATAGTCTGCGATATACTGTTTAGTACAAAATGTTGTCAAACAATTGCTATAGCTGCATGATAGCACCGTTGCATGAAAGAATTTTAACAATCCTCTATCTTCTGCTACCTGCAATTGATAGCACTGTTTTGAAGCATTGTGCTCTCTTGTATAACACTAATGTATTGAATTGAGTAATTTGGATTGATGGATTTAAGCTGAGTAATGAATTGAGTCATAATCACGGTTCATTGCAGATGTAATTGATGTGAACTCATTCTTGTGTCCCCATGTCATTCATTCCTTTGAGCTATTTCATCTTCCGTTCCCATGTTATTCATTCCCTTGAGCTATTTCATCTTCTGTTTTAACTTTTAAATGTGCATTTAAATGTGCGAAATTTAGAATGGATATATAAAATTAGTTGGAATCCCATGCTTTGTTAGTTAGGAAAGATGCATTTTTCAGAAACCCTACAGAGTATCTTATAGTTAACTTGTTTGTTAATTAATTTTTGACAGCTGGTCCCAAGGATACTCCATTGGAGCATGTGTACGAGAAGACATACGATGCTAAAACAGGAAGGGGCATGCCTGAACTTTAAGTAAGGAAATAGATCAATTTAGTACCTTATCTAATTAGATAGTTGCTATCTCAATGAGCATGGTATCGGATCAATTTAGTCGCATCATGAATCGGTTTAATAAATCGCTTTAGATTTATGCGAGTTACCAATCACTTGTTATTTTTCAAGATGCTACTGTCCCGCTATTGCACCACCGTGGTAGTGTTTAACCTCCATATATTTGAATGGATTTCTCAACTTTGTACTGAAATTCAAAAGAATTAGAGAACAAATTGTTCGCAGCGTGTGGAGGAGATTTGTGTTTTTTTTTGGCTTAAATATCTTTTTATTCATCTAAATCTATCATATTTCAATTTTAGTCTCCAGCAAATTTAGGGGTTACTCTTTCTTTCCTATACGGTGCGCTCACACTTTTGAAAATTTTGAAAAATGTTTTTATTGTGTGTGAAAACGTATCTCCAAATGTACATAAAATCACACCAACAAAGTACATAAAATCACACCAACAAAGACGATGCAAGCGAGACACCTCTTATTTTATCAATTTTTTCTTCAAAAATGCATCTCCATATAGCATCTCTGTAATCCGGTTGGAGATGCACTTCCGTAAAATGCAATTAAACAAAATTATGATGTATGCCAATGATAAATTAATGAACAAGAATACAAATTGTTAAAAGAGTATTTTGATAGTTTTGGTGTTGTAATTGATTAACACGGGGGTGTTAACCGGTTATGACAAGAAAAAAGTCACTTTTGAGCTGAGCTGAAGAAACATGGAAAACATTGTGGGTGTAACCGGTTACCAATGAAAAATAATTAATTTTGTATCAGTTGTAATCGGTTATGGGTTTAGTGTAATTGGTTATAGGTTTGAGTTCTCAGTTTTTTCAATTATTTGCTTATGTGACATGTATGCTAACCATTATGTAATGCTTGTATAAACGCCTTTGAGGCATCCTCATCATTGTTAATGCAAAATTACTTCTTACTCTCAATCATTTCTCTCTCAATTCCTCTCTCCTTTTCAACACTCTAATTTTCTCCATTATTAATCAATCTTGTGGTTCTAAGTTCTAACATTTGGCATCAAGAGCCTGATTCTAATCCACAAACACCTAGTGTGCAACATGAATTCTATCTTCAATGAAAGAATCTCTGTAAACTTACTCATCCTTGATGCGAAAAATTACGATAAATGGTGCAAACAAATGAAAGTGTTGTTTGTCTACTAAGATGTTCTTGAAGTGATCAAGAGCTGGGTGAGTCCTTTTGTCGAAGGTGCAACAAATGCGCAACGAGTAACACGTAAGAAAGATAAGAAGATAGATTTTTAGACGTTTTTTATCCATCAATATATGACAACATTAGGAAAGTTGGTGATTGCAAATCATCAAAGGAAGCGTGAGATATTTTAGAGAAGGCATACGTAGGAGCTGATATGGTGAAGATGACGAGGTTACAAACTCACAAGCGTCAACTTGAATTTATTCAAATGGAAGAAAAGGAGATGATCTACGATTTCACCACAAGAATCAATTGATTAGTGAGTCAAGTGAAGGAATGTGGAGAAACAGTCTCGAAGCAATATGTTGCCGCAAAATTTTTGCGTTCTTTAACGCCAAGATTTGACAATGTGGTTGTAGCGATTGAGAAATTGAAGGATCTTGCAACGATGAACAATTAAGAGTTACAAAGCTCTCTTGAGACTCATGAGCAAAGGATGGAGGAGAGAAATAATGATAAGGCAAAGAGAAAGACAAGCTTGTTTTAACGAGAAAGGATGGCGGAGATCACTTTGCAAGCTTGTTTCAACGAGAAAGACAAGAGATCGAAAGGGAAATGACCCATAAAGAGTAAATGGAATTTTTCAAAATTTTGGCGGAAAAAAGTCTCAAAATTTCAACAATTCGACTTATCAAAGGGGTGAGAGCAGCTGCAACAAAAATGGTGATCAAGGCAACTTTAGAGGTGAAAAGAAAAGGTTTGACAAAAGTAAGGAACAATGCTTTACGTGCCAAATGTTTGGTCATTTTGCAAGAGAGTGCATTGCGAACTATAAGTAACCTCAGGGAGATGAAGACAAGGTTACATGACAAGTGTTTAATGAGGAAAATACAATCTTGGTCATGATCATAGAAGGTGAATGCAACAGCAACAGACTGCGGGTTAGCAGTGGTAGCAATTTTGGGAATGTTGCAAAAATAGGTTGTAATTGATTACTTGAAAGTTGTAACCGGTTACATGCAGAATAAAATGTCATGGTAACTGTGAGAGAAGGAGTCCAGTGATGCCAAGAATATTATTTGGACTCAGGATGTTCTAATTATATGACGGGGAGGAAGGATTGGTTTGTTAAAATCAATCGTGCCATGAAGAACAAAGTAAAGTTCACAAATGACACCACTCTAGCAGCCGATGGGATCGGTGACGTTTTGATCATGATAAGGGATGGTGGACATTCCTTGATCAAAGATGTATTGTAGATTCTAGGAATCAAATGTAACCTTTGAATTATTGGTCAATTGCTTGAGAAGGGTTACAAGATTCATATGGAAAACAAAAGTTCATGCATTATGGATATAAATGGGGTTTTTGTCCTTAAAGCTCCTATGGTTGCCAATAGAACCTTCAAGTTAAAGCTGAAGGTTATGAGGCATAAATGTCTTGCTACAACGGCAAGTCGAGAAAAGTGGATATGACACTATCGTGTTGGGCATCTCAATTTCTGAGATCTCAAAGACTTGCAAAATAACGGAATGGTAATGGGGTTGCCAACGATCAATATACCGACTGAAATTTGTGAAGAATGTGTGCACACGAAGCAACATAAGGGTAAATTCAGCAAGGATGCAGGCTGTAGAATGAAGAATCGCCTTGAGGTGGTGTATTATGATGTGTGTGGACCGATGCAAGTAGATCTCATTGGTGGCAATAAATATTTTGTCACATTCATCGATGATCATAATATAAAGCTATGGACATACCTAATCAAGGGAAAGAATGAGGTGTTCGAAGTGTTTAAGAAGTTCAAGTCCATGGTCGAGAGGCAAAGCGGTCACAAGCTCAAGGTGCTCAAAACAGATGGTGGAGGCGAATATGTCGCAAAATACTTTGAGAGATTTTGTGATCAAGAAGCAATAATACACGAGGTTGTACCACCTTATACGCCGCAGCATAACAGTGTTCCCGAAAGGAAGAATTGGTCAATCATGAACATGGTAAGAAGCATGTTAAAGGGGAAGAACTTGTCGAAAGAGTTATGAGGAGAAGTAGTATTTGCAACTGCGTATTGTTGAATAGGTGTCCAACAAAGAAGTTTGAGAAGGTAACACCGAAGGAAACATGATCGGGATTCCAACCAAATTTGAACCATTTGAGAGTTTTTGGTTCTGTAGGGTATCAACATGTTTTGGGGAAGCTTAGAAAAAAGTTGGATGATAAGGGAGAAATGATGATACTTGTAGGGTATCACTCTACCAGTGGTTACAAGTTGTTTGATGCAACAAACAGAGAGTTGTGATCAGCCGAGACGTCATTGTCGATGAAATGAAGGAGTTGCAACAACATGTAACATATGTAACATAAAAGTAGATGAATATACGTTTTCCCACACATGCCTAACAACATGTTCTACATAGAGAGGAAGTAAGGACATGTCAAAGGGATCTCTTGAAAAACTATCACAAACGAGATCAGCAGCAGCAACAGGTTCCTCCTGTTGGATTTCAGGGCCTCATAAGCTAGAGGGTCGAAGTCTGAGACACGTGACCTTGTAAATTCGGAGACACGCGACCACATGAATTCGACGCCTCAACGTCAAACGAACTATCACTAACTCGTGGCCTCAAGAGCATTTCCATCTCCCTATAAACAAATGAATGTTGGGATACACGACCAAACAACGTGTCTTGGTTTCCAGCTATTGTTCTTGTGTTCCTATAATACAAAACATAAAACAATATCAAAATCGAATAAATTTCGAAGATGCATCTCTGTAAAATTTTAAAGGAAAAAAATTTCAGAAAAAACAGGAGATGTATCTCTATAAAAATTCGCAATTATGTAAAACTTCCAGAAAATGCAGACAATTCCCTAACCCAAACAACTTCGTATGCATGTCTAAAAAAGTACCTATTGTAATTATACTTACAAACTAATGCATTTTAAACACCCTAATTTACCTAATACATACATCATAATTCAAAAATAGAATGACAATGAGAACTTATCGGTTGAAAGATTTGTTGTGCAAAAGCCTAAATGGAGTGAATGAAACTTACTGGGATTGATCGGGATGTAGTTTAAATAGCGGTGAAGCTTGAAAAATAACCTAGTTGGTTGTTTTTCATGAGCTCTGAAGTTGAAGGGTTTGTGAAATTGTATCAAATGAAGAAGGAAGTCGGAAGGTTCTGGCGCACAATATATCAATTAAAATCCATCTAGTGATACATCTCCGTAAACCTTACTGAGCGCAAAAACATTAACTTTAAAATTAAAGGTTATTATGTAGATGCATCTCCGAAAACATTTTTAAGAAAAATGAGGTATCGCATTCACAAAAGTATTAGGGGTGTATAATTTGGATGCGTTTCGAGATGATTTTTGAAATCAAATGACTTTTGTGATTTTTCAACATGGTGAACTAGCACCTTTAAGGGTGAGAAAAGTAATAACCTATTTCTTATAGAAGATATGGTATCGAGATTGGATGAGAAAATGAAACAAAGATGATGTAATGTCTGGATTCTTAATTTTACTTATGGATGGTTAATTTACTCTCCGATAAAATTTCATCATCTTATACAATGAATTTAAGGTCTAAACTTTTTCTTGGTATTAATGGATTTAGGTTGGGTAGTATAAATAAATTTAAAATTTTAATTTATTTTAACATAAAATAATATTAAAATATAATATCATTGAATATTATTGTTAAATTAAAGGTACTACTACCTAATAAAATTCCAAGGTATCAAAATGTTCACTATAAATTTATTAGTATAAAAAGATAAAGA